GGTAGTTTAAAACCACAATGTTTTATTTAGGTAGTTTGTTTCCAGCACATTTGGAGATAATAAAGCATCTCTGATAGTGATGCCATATGTATACATGTGTGTTGTATAGAACAGAGTAATATTGGTACACATTAAAAGCATTGTTCATATTTTTTTCAAATTTCCAGATTGAGTCATAGGTGAAAAAAGAATCACTTTTCAGGATTTGGGGTAAGAACAAATATAATATTAATTACATCATTTTCCTCTGGTATGTCCTTGAGGAAACACTGGATGTCTGATTTCAATACAAAAGTTAGATCCAAAATAAGTATTAGCAACCATCAGTCTTTATATTCAGGAGCCATTATTGGGAGATGGAAGGGGGAAGAATGTTTGCTGCTAACAGATTAACTGGAATTTCATTTTATTACTTATTTGGACAAACAATTTCAGGTTTGTACGAATTTTCCTATTCATACATAAACAAGGTTTGTAAATAACTATTTGTTTGGCTGCCTATAGCAACTAAGAATTCTGTCAAGTGAAGAGAGAAGGAAAGTTTATAGTGGTGATTATAAAAGAATTGTACACTAACATAAACCGAGCAAGATCTGAATTAGTACCATATGTGAAATCTAGCAGAATATAGGAACTGACTGATACCATAATGTTAAAATACCATCCAAAGGTATCTTGAGAACATAAATAGGATGTATATTCTATTTTTTAACATATGTTTAAATATGTATTTTGTTCTCAGAATAAGTTGTTAGCCATACTGGTCAACTTCATTCTTTACCACCTATAATTTCTGTTTTCTTCTCTAAAGTAAGCATAATTATATGACAAATATGCATCCCAATATATAGAATAAAAATAGGACAGATCAGTAAAATATTATATAAGTTCAATCCTAAGATAATGCAACAGTTGTTAAGGAAAGGCTGGCAATAGTTAGTGAAATGCCCAGGAAAACAATTAAATTTTTAATCACTGCCAAGAAGATGCCACGTGCCAGATCATCTCCCTTGGGAATAACATAGTACTTGAAAAAGTCACTTGTGGAGAAGCAACATGTTGCATATAAACATGGGTTAATAATATTCAAATCTGAGGGATTCATAATAGACAAAGTTCAAGGGGACACTGTTGCAATATTTCTGTCTACATAAGGGATATACAAAAAATAATTTAAGAGAGTGCCCTGGATAATTTTCCTATATTGAATTTACAGAAGAAGCTTGTTAAAACTCTGAAGAATTTTGTGAGTAGATGAAATAAAAATGAAAAGTAATCAAGTTCTAGGACAGTGGTTCTCAACCTGTGGGTCGGGACCCCATTTGGGGTCAATCGACCATTTCACGGGGGTCGCCAAGCAAGGCTGTCCGCCATTTTTTTTGTCCGCCATTTTTCCCCCCTTTTCCGGCGGGTGCCTTACCTCCCTTGGGCTGGGCCAGCTGGTGGTCGGCCTGCTCCATCTCTGCCGCTTGCCAGCTACGCCTCAGCCGGCGCAGGGGGCGGAACCACGCATGTGCGGCGCTCCCGGGCAGGGAAAGTCCTCGACTTACGACCGGTTGGGTAGTCCTCGACTTACGACCGGTTTAGTCCTCGATTTACGACCGGTTTAGTCCTTGACTTACGATCGGTTGGGGTCGCGGCATTAAAAAGGTTGAGAACCACTGTTCTAGGACATTATTTGAAGGGACTAGAAATTGTTAAAAGTAAAAGAAAGAAATATAAAGCTGGTTTATTTGATCAAGGTTAAAATAGATATATTGCTAGTTGTGGTGACTCTTAATGGATCCTAATCCGGATTTAAATGATGAGGTTTTAAGAATTTGTTTATAAATAAGAGATGGGTCATGGGAAGAAGAGATCGTTTGTTGTATTTTTAGAGAAAGTGATGTTACTAAAATTGTTTATACTTGTGATAATGGTGGAAAGTCAATTCTTTTTTATTATAATCTTTTCTATTTTTCTTTCATTTTTTCCCCTTTTCTTTCCTTCCTTTCTATTTTTTCTTTGTATTCTCTTTTTTTAGTTTGTATTCATAGTTATCTTTTTAATTGTATCTTTTAATACAATTGCTATTTAAAAATCATTCTCTGTTTGGAATCTGGTTTGCCCTTAATTGAAATAAGACCATAGATTTTACATTTTGATTAAGTACAGGGTCTCTAAACTTGGCAACTTTATGACTTGTGGACTTCAACTCCCAGATTCCTCAATTGCCAAGTTTGGAGATCCCTGGATTAGTGGATAAAATGATTATCTTCCTTAATCTCCACAGCATCCTTGAACTTGAATAACTGTTCTCTGCCATGTGGAGGAAAATTTATTTTTTTTGTTCTTTTTATTTATTATTGTTTTTTTAGTTTCTATGTAGTTTATTATTGTAATTTTTAATAAACTTACTATTAAAAAGATACCATTATCAAACATTTTATGATCACTTTCAAATCAGGATTTGGTTCATGAGGGCTTATTTCAGAATCTCAGGATGATCTGGCTGTAATTTCTGTAATTCTTTTTGATGCCTGATTGAGGGTAAATAGCATCCAATATTTTCCTGTATTCTGTGTGTGCATTGTGTCTGTGTGTCTGCGTCTTTATTTAATCTTAACTTTAAATACATTAATTTGCACTGATTACAGTAGAACTTGCTTCAGACTGTAACACATGTTAAAATTGAGGACAACGTGCTCATCATAATTACGGAAGGCTTTGTTAGTCTGTATAAATGACTCTTTCAGAACAATGCTTTCTTGTTTCATTTAGACAAGAAAAAAGGGCCTTGGGTAAACACTTCCTAGACTAAAATTCTTACAGGATATAAATAGTTTGTGTGTTATTAATGCCAGCAGTTCACTTAAACTAAACTTCAGTGTTTAATAGATCAGGAATTAAATATAAATAAAAGATTCTTAGCTGCATTTGGGACAAGAAGCTTTACATTTTCTAAAGTGACATGTGCAAAATGAAAGAAATACTAAAAGTGAGTTATGTTATAAAATCTTATTTATGTTATTTTGATGAGATAACAGTTGACTGCTTTTGCTAATATATTGATGTTCACAAAGATTAATTTCTGCAAGATAACAAACTAAGGCATTAAATTGAAGACCAAGGATGCAGATAGGATACTAATAGTTTGGTACTCTTGCTTTTTCCTTATTTCTGCCGCCACTCCCAAATATTAATTTGCTCTCCTTCTTGTCAGCTTTATCTGTGGTTCAGTAGTTAAAGCAAACCGGATTTCTTAACTACAGTTTGTAAATACATTTGAAATCCTTACCATGAGTGTAATGGCTAAGTTAAACATGAAAAGGTACAATATTTTTAACTATAGTTAAAACTGTTAAGCTAGACAGTTTTTAAATGAATAGAGCATCTTTTTTTCCTTTCTCCAAAATGAAAGGTCAAAGATTGTAAAATGATGTTATTACAGTTTTTCTTTCTAATTTAATCTAATGAATTGCAAATTATAATAGGTTTTGATTTTAGAGAAGGTTGTAGAAAAGATGGTTGTACAACAGCTCCAAAAAATGCTGGAGGAGATCGATTATCTGGACCCCTTTCAGCTGGAATTCAGGCTATGGTCCTGAAATAGCATTGATCACAATCAACATGTGGCAGGAGCAGGATGGAAGTGTTGCAACCATCTTTGCTCTTCTTGACTTCTTGGCAATTTTTGATAACATCAATAATGGTATTCTTCTGGATTGGCTTTAGGGATTGGGAGCGGGTAGCACTGTGTTGTGCTGGTTCTCTTCCTTCCTCCAGGGCAGTCAGTGCTGATGGTAGGAAGCAGTCCAGCCTGCAGTCACTTCTTTGCAGAGTTCTGCAGGGCTTGGTACTTGCCTGGCTCCTGTTTAACATCTCCAGGAAGCCACTATGTAAGATCATTCAGAGGCATGCTGATGGTATACATCTCCACTTCTGAACTGCCCATTTGATACAGTGGAAATTCAGTTTAGAGTCTGGAGACTATGGAGGTTTGGATGAGGAACAACAGGTTTCAATTCAACCCTAGCTAGACTAAATGGTCTTGGGTATTAGGGCATTCTGGTTCTGGAGACTTTTCATCTTTAATTTTCAAGATGATTGTACTACTTCAAAGAGAATTGGTGTGCAGTCTGGGGCACCTCCTGGACTTAAGGAACAGGTGGCCGCTGTACCCAGCCTTTGTACAGTTTCAAGTTGTTTGCCACATTGGCCCATTCCTGGATCAGGAGAGTCTGCTCACAGTCACTCATCCATCAATCACCTCCCAAATGGATTACTGCCATGCACCTTACTGGGGCAGCCATTGAAGAAAGCTGTGTGTGGTACAGAATGTAGCAATATGGACAGTAATGTGTATTCCTTCATCAGCATGTGCTACATGCCTGCTCTGTGAGTTGCTAGTATGCTTCTGGATTCAATTGAAGGTGGTGACAATTCCCAATAAAGCTCTTCATGAAGCCAGATTATTCGAGGAATCATCTCTCCCTCTCCATCCCAATAAGTCTGGCACATGAGGCATGCTCTGAGTCAGATCCATTAGGGAGTGCAATCTGGCAGGGTCTTCCATCATAGAGCCTTCTCTTTGGAACATCATCTCTCCCCACTCCCACTAAAGAAGTGGTTGTGTCACAAAGCTTGGATCTGTGGTAGAGCCCATGCAGTGCTTATATTGATTTGCTGATGATTTTTTTCTTTTTTACCTCAGCTGGTGATTATGGGTGTCTTTTTTTCATATTATTAGGAGTTTCCTGGTGCTTTTAACTGTTGTTAGCTGCCAAGCGACATGAATTTGAAATGGACAGCCATTTAGATTGATTGATTGATTGATTGAATGAATGAATGAATGGAAGTTTACTTATCAATGTGAAAAGAATATAATAGGAAAGGGGAAAAATAGGTAAATGATGTTTTTGATTCTTCCAGGTGTATAGCTCCTTGGAAATGTATAAAAATTATATTCAAGTTTACTAACAATCTATATTGTACATATAATTCTTAATTTTCCATTGCAGGGCTGAAGGCAAGGTTTGGTCACCCAGTACTTTGGAAGATGGAAAAGCACAAGCTTATCGTGTCAGTGTAGAACCTGAACCACAGGTATGTGATCTTTGCACAATTTAAATCATTTTTAAAAAATTCATAAAAATAGGAAATAAATCTCCTTCCTCTATATAAAACATTATATTGTTGAACACTGAGACATCAGAAAAATATGTTGCTTTCTGGATCTATTGTATATTTAAGTATGCAAAATCCTTTACAGTTTGTATCTATGTTCACCGGCATTCCATGAAATAGGATTTGTATAAAAAGAATTATCTATTTGAAATAACCTATAGAGGTTCATAGCAAAGACTGATTTAAAAACAAGTTGGTAAGCTTTATTTCTGTTGCAGGCTTAGTGGGAGAACACATAGCAAGAGGAGTATTAGAATTAGAGTCTTCTTTTAGTATCCTTTAGATATACTGTACTTCTAGATATTTTTAGATTCAGCTGCAATGACTAAATGTCTGTTTGGATAGTGTGGTATGTTGATGTTTATAAAAAAATTGATCCTTACATTTCATGCTGTCCATATATGGGCTAGGTAGATAATCACACTTTTACTAACCTTTCATAGCAGTAGTGCCATACAGTGGCAACAATCTCTAAAGTCTATTTGGTGTGTGGTGGGATTCAAATATGTGAACAACCAGTTCTCTGTGTGGATGCTGCTTCTGGAAGTCCATTCTGGGCCTGGGCAACAAAAAATTAGCTACCGGTTCTGCCGAACTGGTGCGAACTGGCTGAATCCCACCACTGATATTTCCCATTCAAAATCAGTTGTATCTGACTTTGTATGAAAATTATAGTGCGAGAGAATATTTTTCTGAGTTAGCATAATGTAAAAAAAAAAAGCCAACACAAGATAGATGCATCAGCCAAATCAGTAAATGAGCAAGTAAAGGATGTTTCTTCATTACTACCCTACTCTTTGTGCTCTGGGAGAGAAAGGAGATTTGTCACTAATGCCTTTAGCTAGCAGGAGAGATTTTCTACCAGTTTAAATTCCATCTGTCAACTTCCTGGAAAGGATTACATATACTTCTGATTTAGCTTGCATGTTAGTTCATGATTGCCCATGGACTAACTCTAAAATGAAATGTTGAAATTCTGGAACATCTGTGAAGTGGTGATATGATTTAGACCAGGGGTAGTCAACCTTGGCTCTTTTATGACTCGTGGACTTCAACTCCCAGAATTCCTGAGCCAGCCATGCTGGCTCAGGAATTCTGGGAGTTGAAGTCCACGAGTCATAAAAGAGCCAAGGTTGACTACCCCTGATTTAGACAGTTAACATAATTGATTCTATGTCTATGGAGTATCTCAGTCATCCAGGTAACGGTTGTCCCAAAAGTGCTTTTTCAAAAGGCAACTGGACTTTGGTTGTTTTTCCTTGAAAATGTTTCGCTTCTCATCCAAGACGTTTCTTAACTGAAGAAGCTTCTTGAATGAGAAGCAAGAAAACCAACCAAAGTCCGGTTGCCTTTTGAAAAAGCATGTCTGGGATAATCGCTTCTATGCTTTTCTCACAGATCTCAATTTCTTGAGCTGCTTAGAGCAATAAAGCACTGAGGTATGTAACTAGAAATATAACAGAAGAAAATTTGGAATGCATACAGTCAAACGTGCTCTACATTTTAGATTTATATAATAGTAGATGATGCTGAAGAAGCTGCTCCCTGCTACTATTGCATTCACACAATACTCAAACAGTTGTAAAGGTGCTATTGTGTGCTAGGCTTCAAAACAATAGAATAGACTTTCTCAAAAGATTGCAAAAGTTGCTGATAAAAATAACTGCTTGCTTTAAAAAAAAGCCCCATTTGCAGTAACTGAAGAGTTTAGCAACTGTAGCTTATTTTGGTTGTATGGGTTAGTTTCATTTTGTTTAATCTGAAAAGTTAGGCAAATTGGGATAGGGATGGACCAAGATTGGCTGAGCCTTTTCTGTCTGAAAAAAATTACTAGGATAATCAGGCAATAGGTTAGTGATGATTGCATTCCATCTCCTTTAAACGGAAGATTGTAAGGACATTACTGAAAAAACCCATGACAGTCAACTACCAGCTAAGTTATAGTAATATTTAATAGGTGCATACCTAATTCAACCCATTATTTTATTTGAAGCAGATTGTTCAGCAGATTCAGTTTCTTTTTGGGGACTGAAGCAGCTTTGGCCACCTTAGTGGATGATCTGTACTATAAGCTGAATGGGATTTCAATTTTTGTTAATTCTACTGGATTCCTCAACAGTATTTGCTACTACTGACTCAAGTGGTTGAAGGCGTTGTGCATGTTTAGACTGAGCAAGAGAAGATTCTTGGGAGACCTGTTAGCTATCTCCAAATACCTGAAGGACTGCCAAGAAGAAAATGGGGCAGAGTTGTTTCAGAAGACAGGATAAGAACCAATGGATTTATATTTCAAAGAAATAGATTTCAGTTGAACATTAGGAGGAATTTTCCAAGCATAAAGGCTGTTCAATAGTGGAAAGGTTGACTCATGCAATATTGGATTCTCTTTTGCTATAGGTGCTTAACCATAGGGTCAGGGGACATTGGTGAGGGATGCTACAGAATGCATTAATGAATTTGTGTGCTGAGTATGAGGATGGAATAGATGATTTCCAAGAACTAACTTTTACGTTCTATGCTATAGGCACACAATCTTTCTCTTTCTCCCTCTCAGATATGGAATACTTGAACTGTTTTCTGGCTTGGCTCACCCACTTATCAGCTGGTTGTGGGGCAAGAAATTAAGGCTTAGTTGAGGATGGAGTAGACAAGTTAATAGAAGAACATTACGATAAATAATAGTACAATAGGAAGCAACTCTTCTTAATTTTTTAGGCTCACACAGCTGCTTCAGAAACTACCCAGGCTATTTCCATCTTGCACTTTAAGCATTCTCTTTCAAAGATTTGCAAAATCCTAATACTGTACTTATTACAACAGCCACTTCGGTGCATGGGGTTAAGGGATCATCCTAGAAACCAGGGGTTTTAGTTCCACCTTGGGCATGAAGCCAGTGGAGTAAACTTATGCCAATCACCTTCTCTCAGGTCTAGGAAAAGAGGCAGTGGCAAACCACTTCTGAAAAACCTTGCCAAGAAAATAACAGGGACTTCTCTAGGCATTCTCTGAGAATCAGACACAATTGAAGAGAAGAAGAAAAAAAATATTTATTACCGAAAGCTAGTTCCTTTCAGCACTCTCAGAAGCTTTCCCAAAATTAGGGCCACCATTCCTTATAATGAGAACAAGATAGTGAAAGACTATTTCTTCTATAGGAATCTGCCCATTATTGCCATATTTTCCATTAGCAGGTGAATTCAAGTTAACAGGCAAATTGTTGTCGTTTTAACCATTCAGGCATGTCTGACTCTTGAGACTCTATAACCAAGTGCCCCCCCATTCTACCCTGTCAAGCACAGCTTCTTTCAGTTGTTGGATGTTCATATTTGTATCAGTTTTGATGTTATTAAACCAACATGTTCTTTTTGCCCCTTTTTCTTGTTCCTCTAACCATTCTTAGTGTCACTGACTTCTCCAATGAATTTGCATGCGTGACATGGCCAAAGTAACTCAGACATAGTCTTATGATTGTGATGTCTGGTTTTATATGATTCAACATCTCTCCCTGTTAGTTATTCTGGCTGTAACAGGCATATAATTTAATGCTATTCTGAATGATTTTATCATAAAATAGTTCTCAAGGATACTATTTTCTTGAGAATCCTGTTTGTTGGAAGGGCAAGGTAAAAATATTAATACATAAACTAAAGTAGGTATATGAATTAACATTATTTCAATTTTTATCTGAAATCGCATCCTCTGTAGGGCAAATATAGTATGCATACATCCTTAATCTGGGTTTATTGAAGAAGCATGGTGATGCTGTCTGTATTTTCCCCCATTTCTTGGCTGTGTTTGCCTAATTAATCAGCTGCAGAAAATTGATTCTAAAAACTCTTTCGAAAAGGTGTTGATGTGTTCCAAAACTGTCCATATGGGGGACAGTTTATTGGGAACAAATGCATGAATTCTTACTGCCAAATATATTTCTGAGGGAGAGTGCACATTAGTTTTGTTTCCTGCAATAAAATAACAGTATAGAATACATTTGCTGTTTATTTTTAAAATGGAAATTAGCTATGTGACTGGATAGGGGGCCAAAGTAATGCCTGTGTACATCACAAAACCTATTCCTACCATAGTTAGCAATAGCCTCAACAATGTCCAGTATAGTTTCTAATCAATAGAAGCATTCCTCAGATTGCAAGAGTAGATGAAAGAATCTTGACTAATTTGGAAGAAGCTAAACAGATCTACTTGGTATTGGATGGTAAAACACAGACTTAGAATTGGAAAATAGAAAACAAAATCCTAAAAGGATATAGTGACGCGTCCAGCCTATGGGCCGGCAGTTTGACACCCCTGCCCTAGAGTATATAATAATCTTCATGCCACTGAAAAAGGAGACCATAGATATAATTTTTCCTATGTTTTCTCTCTTATCAAATTTTAATCAAACCAGAACCATATGGTGTTTATAAAAGAATTGGATATTTGCTTTCTTTTTACATTCCTTTTATTGAGGATTCCTTTTGTGATTTCTCTTCATTTATCTTGGCCCAAATCTCTGTTTGTTTGTTTGTTTGTTTGTTTGTTTGTTTGTTTGTTTGTTTGTTTGTTTGTTTCATTCATTCATTCATTCATTCATTCATTCATTCATTCAGCATATCCTAAAATCTAACCCTCTGCTCAGTATAGGAATTTGGAGCATCCCAACTAGCCCCATTGAACAACTCCAGAGAAATCTGCCATTTGTCTGAGTGATTGGCTTCACTGCTGAACTGCTTGAATTAGCTGCCCTGTACTCATTTATTCTTATTGCCACTACCCTGATGAAATTAATCCTGTATTATTCGTTCTGACTACCAAGCAGTGACAATATAACATTGGAAGGAGTCCCTGTGAATTTTATTCTGCTATCAGTGCTGACTACAGGAGGCAGTGCTCATCTCCACTTCAAGGCCATTGAGACAGCGCTGTCTGAAGACATGCCCGTGGTCATG